GCCGCAGCACACACTTTTGCATAAGCGCATAACCGTAAGCGTAGGAAAATTGATTGGTTCATTTTCTTATGCATATACTTGGGGACCAATCAATTTCCTTATGCTTATGGTTATGCGCTTATGCAAAAGTGTGTGCTGCGGCCTTTAGTCTTATTAAATAAATTTTACTATGTTTTTCCTAATCTTAAGCCGTAATCACACTACGGGTTGCGAACTTGGTCGCGGTTGGAATGGACCAATCGGAGTAGCCAAACGGCAAATTGCTTTTCTCTGATTGGTCAATTTCAACCGCGACCGAGCCCGCAACCCATAGTGTGATTACGGCTTTAAAGTATCTTTCAAAGAGCTAGTATGAAAAGACATCTTAATAAAGCGTCTGCTATGACGCTGCTATCGACGATATACATGTATACACGTGTGTGACAAGTGGTAGTGGTAATAAATAAGTGCAACAATATGGCGATTGTCCTGCATGCCACGTTCCGATTGTGTAATTATTATTGATTTTATATTTCTTTTTTCTATGTTTTACTTTATATTTACATATTATTATTCACTCTATTGTGCTAATTTGTTTGTGATTGTATGCTATGTGCGATGTTTGAAAGTTGAAACGATATTTTCAGATTAGTTTTGGATATTGGATATTTTATATATCATTAAAAATAAATCTAATAAAGAAGCTCAAGTACGGATATTATATCTAGAAGAAAAGGGTTAAATATCTAATCTGGCAGTGATTTTTCTGATATTGAAAAATTATAAACATAATTATTGGCAAAATTTTTAAACGGTAAAAGGTAAGTGGAAAGAAAGAGAGAAATTTATTTTTATATATTTTTTTATTTGACCTCTCTTTAGATGATTAATTGTAAATAATGAATCTATGAATATACACGTTTGCATCTTGGTTAACCTATATGAATTTAGTACTCTATTTTTAATAAAGTTTTAGTACATAAAATGATATGCGCAATATATAAAGTGATATTTTGTTTCTTTGTAACAACATTTCCATGTATGAATGTTTGTGTGTATAGTTCCCAGATAGCACAAAGAGTTTAAAAAGAATTTTTATGTCACAAGATCTGAGTTCATTTTCAGATGCAAAAAGAATTCTTTTACATAAAAGAATTCTTTTTACATTTGAAAGTGAACTCAGATTTTGTGACATAAAAATAAATTCTTTTTAAACTCTGTGCTATCTGGGATCATACTATAAAAAATATGATATTTATAATATACAGATAATAATGAAAATAACTATAAACTTATAACTATAAACAATTATAAATGAAATATTATCATTTTATATACTAAAAACTTTGCTCATTAAAAGTAGGAATTCACATAGGTTCTCCTAAAATAGGTCTTCCTAAAATCTAAAATATAGAAATTTTAATTCTTACATATTTTATAATTTAAGCAGTATATTTAAATATGTATTTATTTTTTTAGCATATTGTACATGTGTATAAATAGCTTATTATTATTTTTATTTTATTATTATTATCATATTATTATTATTTTAATCTAACTAAATATGATATAATTATTATTTTAATATAATTAAATATGATTAATTCACATAAAAATACTTCTGTTTCGAAACGTAATATCAGACGAATTATTGCGAATGAAACAAGCATAGATATTGCGGGATCTTCTAGACAAATTGTAGAACAATCAGATGCTGTAAATATTTTTGTCGAAAATGACTTAGATTTACAAAATTGTTCTCATGGAAATATTGAAAATATTGAAAGTAATCATATTATATCTATGGAAAATATAAATTTTAATTACTTACCTTATAATATTATTGAGAGAGAGAATAACAATGAATCTTCGAATTCTAATATAGTAAATAACATTAATGATCAGGATAATGATGAAAAATTCAGAAACGCTATAGCTGAGTGGGCTGTGTCATTTAATATTCCCCATAATGCATGCAATGCATTATTAAAAATTTTACAAAAACATACATCTTGTAACTTTTCCAAAGATACAAGAACTTTATTGCAAACTCCACGACAAAATAATATTATAAAAATATGTGGAGGTGAATTTTTTTATTTAGGCTTAAATAATATTGTTAAAAAAATGTTATTAAAATCTAATGATAAACATATTAATTTACTTGTTAATATTGATGGCCTTCCTTTAGCAAAATCATCTCATGCGGCTTTATGGCCTATTCTGTGTTCAAATACAAAAGATAATGCTGTATATCTTGCTGGGGCATATTTTGGATATAAGAAACCAGAAAATTTTAATATTTATTTGCAACCTTTGATAGATGATTTAATTGAATTAATAAGGGAAGATTATCTTTATGCTAACAATGTTATCAAAATTAGATTGTTTAATTTAATATGTGATGCTCCTGCAAAATCTTTAGTATTGTGCGTAAAAGGTCATACTGGATTTTACAGTTGTACCAAATGTATCATTAAAGGGGAATATGTAAATGGCAGAATCTGCTTTCCGTTTAGAACAAAATCATATCCTTTAAGGAGAGATGAATTGTTTGCTATTAACGCTTATACAGATTTCCAAACTGGTTACAGTATTATCAATAACATTCCAGAGTTTTTACCTATAAGCAATACTCCACTTGATTATATGCATCTTATATGTTTAGGTGTAGTTAAGAAAGTGATACTTCTTTGGACGAAAGGACCACTTTCTGTCCGTTTAAACTTAAGATCAATTAACAAAATATCATATTTGTTAATATTACTTAAAACCTCTACTCCAAATGAATTTGTTAGAAGACCACGCTCTATAAATGATGTAAAACTGTGGAAAGCTGTAGAATTTCGAAACTTCCTTTTATATACAGGTCCTATCGTATTAAAATCTATATTAAAAAAAGACATATATTATCATTTTATCACACTTCATGTGGCTATCACAATTCTTACACGTCCAAACTTATACCAAGAAAATTTTATAAATTATGCTGAAGCTTTACTTAATAATTTCGTCGAATCTTTTGAAACATTGTATGGTAGACAATATATATCACACAATATTCATAACCTTCTACATTTATGTTCAGACGTACGAAGATTTGGCCCACTAGATAATTTCAGTGCTTTCCGTTTCGAAAATTATATGACAAGTATAAAAAGACAATTAAGAAAAAATGAAAAACCTGTGAGTAGTGATACTATGAGAGTTCTAACTCAGGTCCTCTCAGGGGGGGTGAGTCAAGTATACTAAAATTATGGAAGCCGTGCTCCCGTTGTGCGGAGCATGAGGTGGTCATATAGGTGCCAACATGGACTTATGAATCTCTACTCTCAATCATTGAGTTGACCCGGTGCAACGCTTGAACCATTTGAACCGGCCGGCGCGGCCCCAAACGTCAATTAAGACTGTTTCGCTAAAAGAAACGTTCGTCGGCGTTTAAGCGCGACAAGACAAATTGCTTTTCTCGCCAGCTAACGTTTATAGCGTGGCTTGGACGCGTCCGCTGTGAATGTCGCGAAAATTATGGATCTGTTGTCTTGTGTCTTTTTTTGTCCTGTCGAAGGATGCGTCTGCGTAAGATTAATCGTTGCGTATTATCGACATGCCCTTCCCGAATCGCCAACATCATTGCTCCGTATAAAAATATATGTAAATACTAAATAAATTCTTGTTTGGAAAATTGAAAGACAAATAAAAAATTCAAATCATATTTAATATTTAGTGTTTTGACTAAATTTCCTTGTCTTGATTTTTGGTAAAATAATTGGTATACAATGTATGGAAAAAGTATATGTTAAATATAAATTTCTTCAAATCTTTTATTATGGCAGCTATCACATATATACACACAACCCATTTGGTTTTACATTGCCTACTTTCATAATTATGTCATACGAACTAATGATACAACTTCGTAAACCGTCTGTTATAAAATGGTCAATAATTATGGAAGATGGATTTGTTAATTCCTTCCTTAACATTTTGCATTTTTTACAATTAATATTCACTCAATAAGTAATGGGGTTATCAATAAGAAATATTAATATGATAATCTGTTACTAAACATATAAATGTAATTATTAGTTAGATATTGAAACTATCAAATCACCTTAGTGCTATCATTTCTCGTTATGAAATTATAGTCGTTATTAAATCTCGATACCCATACAGCACAGAACCTTTCAAATACATTGCAGCAATGTTGCAATATTGCAGAATTGCAATGTAATATTGTAGAGAACATTGCAGGAATATACAAGTGTAACATTTCATGAGAAATGTTACAGCAACATTACAGAAGCATGCAATATTTTATAATCGTTCTTTTAATTAAAAAAATTATATATATATATATATATATTATATATATATACATATGTATGTATATACATATGTTTTATATATACATACAACATGCATAAATAATAAAATTCTTGTTTACTAAAAAGCTTATATATTATACACACACATTTAAGAATACTTAAAAAATAAATAGTAAGATTTAGACAAATAGACCAGTCATTAATTCGACTCTTAAAAAAATCTCAACAGTAATAGATCGATTTACTGCTTTAAGGCCGCAGCACACACTTTTGCATAAGCGCATAACCGTAAGCGTAGGAAAATTGATTGGTTCATTTTCTTATGCATATACTTGGGGACCAATCAATTTCCTTATGCTTATGGTTATGCGCTTATGCAAAAGTGTGTGCTGCGGCCTTTAGTCTTATTAAATAAATTTTACTATGTTTTTTCCTAATCTTAAGCCGTAATCACACTACGGGTTGCGAACTTGGTCGCGGTTGGAATGGACCAATCGGAGTAGCCAAACGGCAAATTGCTTTTCTCTGATTGGTCAATTTCAACCGCGACCGAGCCCGCAACCCATAGTGTGATTACGGCTTTAAAGTGTCTTTCAAAGAGCTAGTATGAAAAGACATCTTAATAAAGCGTCTGCTATGACGCTGCTATCGACGATATACATGTATACATGTGTGTGACAAGTGGTAGTGGTAATAAATAAGTGCAACAATATGGCGATTGTCCTGCATGCCACGTTCCGATTGTGTAATTATTATTGATTTTATATTTCTTTTTTCTATGTTTTACTTTTATTTTACATATTATTATTCACTCTATTGTGCTAATTTGTTTGTGATTGTATGCTATGTGCGATGTCTGAAAGTTGAAACGATATTTTCAGATTAGTTTTGGATATTGGATATTCTATATATCATTAAAAATAAATCTAATAAAGAAGCTCAAGTACGGATATTATATCTAGAAGAAAAGGCTTAAATATCTAATCTGGCAGTGATTTTTCTGATATTGAAAAATTATAAACATAATTATTGGCAAAATTTTTAAACGGTAAAAGGTAAGTGGAAAGAAAGAGAGAAATTTATTTTTATATATTTTTTTTATTTGACCTCTCTTTAGATGATTAATTGTAAATAATGAATCTATGAATATACACGTTTGCATCTTGGTTAACCTATATGAATTTAGTACTCTATTTTTTAATAAAGTTTTAGTACATAAAATGATATGCGCAATATATAAAGTGATATTTTGTTTCTTTGTAACAACATTTCCATGTATGAATGTTTGTGTGTATAGTTCCCAGATAGCACAAAGAGTTTAAAAAGAATTTTTATGTCACAAGATCTGAGTTCATTTTCAGATGCAAAAAGAATTCTTTACATAAAAGAATTCTTTTTACATTTGAAAGTGAACTCAGATTTTGTGACATAAAAATAAATTCTTTTTAAACTCTGTGCTATCTGGGATCATACTATAAAAATATGATATTTATAATATACAAATAATAATGAAAATAACTATAAACTTATAACTATAAACAATTATAAATGAAATATTATCATTTTATATACTAAAACTTTGCTCATTAAAAAGTAGGAATTCACATAGGTTCTCCTAAAATAGGTCTTCCTAAAATCTAAAATATAGAAATTTTAATTCTTACATATTTTATAATTTAAGCAGTATATTTAAATATGTATTTATTTTTTTAGCATATTGTACATGTGTATAAATAGCTTATTATTATTTTTATTTATTATTATTATCATATTATTATTATTTTAATCTAACTAAATATGATATAATTATTATTTTAATATAATTAAATATGATTAATTCACATAAAAAATACTTCTGTTTCGAAACGTCATATCAGACGAATTATTGCGAATGAAACAAGCATAGATATTGCGGGATCTTCTAGACAAATGTAGAACAATCAGATTGCTGTAAATATTTTTTGTCGAAAATGACTTAGATTTACAAAATTGTTCTCATGGAAATATTGAAAATATTGAAAAGTAATCATATTATATCTATGGAAAATATAAATCTTAATTACTTACCTTATAATATTATTGAGAGAGAGAATAACAATGAATCTTCGAATTCTAATATAGTAAATAACATTAATGATCAGGTAATGATGAAAAATTCAGAAACGCTATAGCTGAGTGGGCTGTGTCATTTAATATTCCCCCATAATGCATGCAATGCATTATTAAAAATTTTACAAAAACATACATCTTGTAACTTTTCCAAAGATACAAGAACTTTATTGCAAACTCCACGACAAAATAATATTATAAAAATATGTGGAGGTGAATTTTTTTATTTAGGCTTAAATAATATTGTTAAAAAAATGTTATTAAATCTAATGATAAACATATTAATTTACTTGTTAATATTGATGGCCTTCCTTTAGCAAAATCATCTCATGCGGCTTTATGGCCTATTCTGTGTTCAAATACAAAAGATAATGCTGTATATCTTGCTGGGGCATATTTTGGATATAAGAAACCAGAAAATTTTAATATTTATTTGCAACCTTTGATAGATGATTTAATTGAATTAATAAGGGAAGATTATCTTTATGCTAACAATGTTATCAAAATTAGATTGTTTAATTTAATATGTGATGCTCCTGCAAAATCTTTAGTATTGTGCGTAAAAGGTCATACTGGATTTTACAGTTGTACCAAATGTATCATTAAAGGGGAATATGTAAATGGCAGAATCTGCTTTCCGTTTAGAACAAAATCATATCCTTTAAGGAGAGATGAATTGTTTGCTATTAACGCTTATACAGATTTCCAAACTGGTTACAGTATTATCAATAACATTCCAGAGTTTTTACCTATAAGCAATACTCCATTTGATTATATGCATCTTATATGTTTAGGTGTAGTTAAGAAAGTGATACTTCTTTGGACGAAAGGACCACTTTCTGTCCGTTTAAACTTAAGATCAATTAACAAAATATCATATTTGTTAATATTACTTAAAACCTCTACTCCAAATGAATTTGTTAGAAGACCACGCTCTATAAATGATGTAAAACTGTGGAAAGCTGTAGAATTTCGAAACTTCCTTTTATATACAGGTCCTATCGTATTAAAATCTATATTAAAAAAAGACATATATTATCATTTTATCACACTTCATGTGGCTATCACAATTCTTACACGTCCAAACTTATACCAAGAAAATTTTATAAATTATGCTGAAGCTTTACTTAATAATTTCGTCGAATCTTTTGAAACATTGTATGGTAGACAATATATATCACACAATATTCATAACCTTCTACATTTATGTTCAGACGTACGAAGATTTGGCCCACTAGATAATTTCAGTGCTTTCCGTTTCGAAAATTATATGACAAGTATAAAAAGACAATTAAGAAAAAATGAAAAACCTGTGCAACAATTAATGAACAGATATAAGGAAAAAGAATATATGGATTCATTGTTATTAAAACATAATTGCAATAATAAGAAATATGTTTGTAAATATTTGCATAAAAATGGACCAATATGTAATGATCTTAATGTTACATCACAATACTTGCAAGTATCAAATGAAATATTTACTATAAATTGCAAAGGTTTTAGTAATAATTGTTGCATTTTAAAAAATAATGTATGTATTTTGGTTTTGAATATAATTGAAGATAATAATAAAGATATTTTTCTTATTGGTAAGAAGCTTAAATATATAGGAGATGTGTATAAAACACCTTGTACCCAGTCTAGTCAATTTAATATTAGAATGATGGTCACAAGTAGTGATAATATTTTTTCTTGGCCAATTACAGATGTGTTATATAAAGTGTGGAAAATTTCTTATAGAAATGAATCAAATACATTCGCAATATTTCCGCTAAATCATTCTGCTAAATAATTTTATGAGAATTAATCATATATTTCCTCTCTTTTAAATATGTTAATTAATCACATATTTCTTATAATAATGTTAAATATACACAAGTACAACTATTATACCTGCTATCAGAGAAAAATGAATGATAGTGGATTCATAATTGCTGAGTTTGATGATGGACTACAGTTAATACCAACAATATGGTTCAATGCGGAAAAACAATCGTGTATATGGCCTGGCCATTTTAAAACCAAATTCCGCATAAATAAAGCAATAATAACAAAAAGAAATACCACAGGAAGAATTTGATTGGGATGAGTTACCAATCAAGAGAATCTTCGGCACAGCAGGTAAATGAATTATTTTCTTAAGTAGTATGTATGTACACGCACATATATGTATAATTGTTGTCTTTATTTTGTTTTCTTTTTTTATTTTATTTTCATAAATAAGACACTTATGAAAAAGGCATGAAAAAATTGGTCCTAGCACAGGATACATCTAATATAGAAAATACTGAAATCTCATCTAACGAATTAAAAGAAATAAAGAAAAAAAGAAGGCGGATTCAAGCAAAAAAAAAAATGTCATCCTCAGAAATGTCATCATCATCAGAAGATTTTCTTTTGCAAGAGAATAAAGAAAATCGAATGACGCAAAATAATAAAATATTGCCTGCTTTTCCACAAATAGAACATTTTGTGCCTAATTATAAATCGCGAGATAAATGTAAAGAGAATTTTGGTAATGAATTATCCGAAAGAAATTCTACTTATAATAGAATAAATATAGTTCATGGTAAGCAACTAGTATAAGAATAACTGGCAATCATACTATAATAATCATAAATGTATCATAAAATCATATAATGTATAACTTATGTTTATGAATGCGCAACATTATTAATATTCTTATTAATTTATCTTCCTATATAGATGTCAACAAAAAAATTGATACAAATAACCAAAGCAATCTTAAACTAAAAAGATGCTCTATTCAAGAGAACACCAGCCAAGAAAATACTTACTCTGATGGTATACGTATTATACATTTTAATAATTTTTTTTAAATTATATAAAATAGGAATAGAAAATATACGTATTTTATATATAACGTTTAGAAGTAAATAATACTAGTCATAAAAACAAAAGTTTATAAAAGAAATATTTATTTTAGAATTTAAGAAGCAAATATTAACAAAATTAAATAAAATTTTATATAAACTTGACACACTTGACAATAGAGAAATAAATATTCTTGAAAGAATAAATATTCTTGATGACATGTAATTATATTAATGAAGAATTTCATATTGAATTTCCACTTTCATCTATATCAGAATTAACATATTTCGAGGGGCAATTGGAAGAAGCAAAATTTAAAAATCACGTGGTACATATTATATCTTATTTTTTATAATTTATAATAAATATTTATAATGAAATTTATTCTTGTTAATATGAAGATGAGGCCGCGATGCAGGGACAATATACAGGGAGTGGAATGAGATTAAATATGCCGAGATTCCGTAATCGTTGCTTTATTAGTAGACGGCACGATGTGAGCGTGTCCACGGTACAAGACAAGACTGACGTGGTAGAGAAAACATATGTGACCAAAGGGACATGTGTAACGAAAAGACATGTGTGCGAAGGGGTATGCGTAAGGTCTTTTGTTCCGAGTCCTTCGGATGTCGCCACGGGAATCGCCTCATAAGACGATACTTCGAACAATTCTGTTATTATTTGTACAATTTTATTTTTCAGCTTTACATTTTGAGATTGGTAGGTGGAAGTACTGCGCATATAATGACACGCAATATATTGAAAAAAATTATAACAAATACTTTGGCTCAAGATTTTAGCTGGGCAGGAAAAAAAACTAAACGTTGTTTCAAAGACTTAAGTCTCACAAAAATAATCATACGTGAGTTTATTTTATATACATTTTATATTTAAAATAAGTACATATTTAGTTATAGTTATAATATTTTTAATAATTTTTATAGAAGCTGTCCGTACAATGTATGGTTCGGTTACAGACAATGAGATAGCGGAATCTATATCAAAATGGCTTACCCAAGCCAGTTTAAGAACTCAAAGAGAAAGGTATTCATTGTTCTATTTTAAGAGAGAGATTCTTCAAGATATATATATATATATATATATATATATATATATATATATAATATCGTTTTATTTAAGATAATTAAAAAATTACATATATAAAATTTTAATTATCTTAAATAATGAGATCGACCTGATTAAAATATAGTTACAATTTTTAATTTGATTTATTCTTATGTTTTCAGACAACAGAATACACAAACCGAGTTAATGGAGTAAACAATAAGACTGCTACAGAAAATAAAAGTACAAAATAAAAGAAAACTAAAAGTACAAAATAAAAGAAAACTAAAAGTACAAAATAAAAGAAAAATATATTGTAATAATATATTATAAAAACGTACATGTTTACATATATACATATAAGTATTATATTTACATACATACACAAATACATATAAGAACATATAAAGCAAACATATATTTTACATACATATATAATAAAAGTGCAATACTGCAAGTGCAATATGCCAAAAAAAAGTTATATATAAATGTTATGTTGGAATACATAGTATATAATAAAATAAAATAATTTTCAAACTGTTTTAATTAAATTTCCACACAAAACTAAACTTTATAGTGATAAGTATCTACTAATGCTGTGTATGTTTCAGATTTTAAAAGATGAAATTAAAAGGTGAACTCAATGACCATATGAAAACATTCAAGAAAAAGTATATGATCAAAAGTTCGTAGTTGTTTTGTATTTGAAATGCAATTTTATGAAATTATGAAATTATTTTATATATTCATAATAAATAAATTAACAAAAAATTATATTTTGAGTGTACAAAGCAATTATGAACGCATAATCATGTATCTTTTTTATCTTGTATGATTTGTATACTCGCAAAATTTATCTGGAAATAATAATATATGGCATTATTGTGGACACCCTGGCAAAAATGAATATCGGAACGTAAGTCGAATATAAGGAGAGAATGACAGAAGTTTAAACGAAGCTTTTAGGAGGCGTAAATTGAAACAACGAAGCGTATACGCTCCTAAAGCTTCGTTTACACTTCTGTCATTCTCTCCTTATATTCGACCTACGCTCCGATATTCATTTTCACCAAGATATATTATATTGTAATATTATTATAATGTTACATTGTAAGATTATTGCAATGTTATATTGTAAGATTTCTGTAGTGTTACATTGTAAGATTACTATAATGTTACATTGTAATGTTACTGAGGGCGGACATTTTAATGTTGCTGCAATGCTGCAGCAACATTGCAGCAACATTTCGCAATGTGTATGCAATATTCCATTATTACGTTGGAATATTTATGTAATGTTTCTGCAACCATTTTGTGCTGTATGGGTAATATCTCAATATTACTCTTTAGCTGTTGACAACTTTTCGTGAAATCTTAACATTTATTTTTAATATGAGAAAGATTATACAGGGTGACCCATTTTAACTTAGGCAGCCAAATAACTCGAAAAATAAGCACACTACGAAAAAATGGTTAGAATCAAAATTTCGTCATTTCGAGGGGGACGTACAATGACGTTAAAATCAGCCCCCCCACCCCTCCCCCTGGGCGGTGAGTGGGGGCAAGTTTGAAATCTTAAATGGAACCCCCTATTTTTCATTGCATATTCTTGTAGCTTATCTCGAGAGCTTTCCAAAACACTATAATTAAGTACCTTTTTATTAAGTACTTTTTGAGTTATAAGGCTTGAAATAATTTCTTAATTTTACATAAACCATTCATTTTTCGATTATCTTACCTTCATACTTTTATGTACAAAATAATGAGAGGAATCAATTGGTGTAAAGAAAACATACAGTTGTTTTTAAGAAAAAATATGGAATTGTTAATTGCAAATTACATATTTTTCTTAGAAACAACTATGTGTTTTCTTTACACCAATTGATTCCTCTCATTATTTTGTACATAAAAGTATGAAGGTAAGATAATCGAAAAATGAATGGTTTACTAGATATTTTATGGTTTATGTAAAATTAAGAAATTATTTCAAGCCTCATAACTTGGAAAGTACTTAATGAAAACTAACTTAATTATAGTGTTTTGGAAAGCTCTTGAGATAAGCTACAAGAATATGCAAAAGCATATAGGATATCCCATTTAAAAAGTTGGAGCTGACCTTCGCGTGTCCTTCAAGTGGCTCTTCAAGATCAAACTAATGACACCATCTTATGTCCCCCTTGAAACTATACAACTTTTGTCTAAAACATTTTTCTCTATCTTGCTTAGGTTCCGAGAAATTTAGGTGGTCGGATTAAAATGAAACACCCTGTGTATATATTCTCGCGTATGTATTATAGTTAGAATTAAAATTTTCTAAATTCGCTGAAGCACAGGTCCTACATTTTCCGAGATCATCTTTCTGAATAACTTTCAGAAGGTTTCAGCCGCTTATTGTTTTAAAATAATTTTGATAATTATGATAATTTAAATTTCATTTTTTAAATATTTTTAAAAATAAATTTAATTTAATTTTAAAAAATAATTTTAATTTGTTACGAAAAATTACACAAAAGTTCAAAATATATGTATAATATAAAATTTATTAAAAATTTCTATATAATACAAATAAGATTAGCAATGATTAATTAGGCGATATTTATTATTAATAATTGACATATATTAATAAAATTTAAGAATAGAAATTAGTTTTATATAAATAACGTATTAACGTAAATAATCGCGATTAAAAGATTATTAAAATTATTGATCATTTCTTCAATTGTAGAAGAAACTATTTGCATTACTGGCACATTTTGCGATAAATTATCAAAGATAATATTTCAAAGATAATTATATTCAAAAAAGATAGAACAAGCTTTGATATAAATCAATGATTAAAATACAAGATAAATAGCGATTTAAAATTCGCAAGAAAATGCAACGAATAATTAAATCGATAATATTAGGAATTATCAATTATGATAATCAAAATCAATAAATAACGCCCGACGTATAATTATTATCACACAAATGCGAAGATATTTTGAAACATTTGCTGTAATATTTGCGGATATAAAATTTGTTGTCTGTTATATTTTATATAAATGTCGCGATTGAGAAAATACATATTGCATCTCACGCATGATTAGTTAAAGGAAATAAAATGAATCTTAAGACTCTACAATTTTAAATATAATTAGTATATAATTAAAAAATTGCATTATCGCTTTTAATGGGAAATAACGAAACGAAGCGCATATTTCGCGTAATTTATTTATTTAATCAAATAAGAATCGTAGAAACAGAAATCTAAAATAATAAATTATAATTTTGATGTAAAATCAATTTTTACAAGAAATTATTACTTTAATGATATTTATAAAATCAAATATAATTCGACCGCGACGCTTTATCTTTTATTTTTCAATTATTTAAATATAATTTAGATTCAAAACGCACAGAGCAAAAAACAATTGAATCATAAATCGAAGTAATTAACATAGAAAAGCTTTCTGATACATAAATCCTTTAACAAATATTATTTAATTAATCTATATAATCTAAAACACTCCTATAAACTTTAATATTAAATGTAAAGTAAAATGTAAAATTATATGTAAAGTACGTAAAAAAATATTTCGGCAATAAATGGACAATAATACGTTCGGACCATTGGCGTATGACGCGCTGTGTTTACATGTCACAGCCTTGATATCATTCGCGCAGCAACATTTGAAGAGTAAGGGAGGAGGGAGTGCAAAATACTTCGTATATTTTCAAATTTTCTCTTAACAATAAAACGAAATAGCGACTAGTATTGAAACATAATTCGCTATAATAATTATAATTAATACTTGCTACACTTTTAATTGTAATTATAATTATTACGCGATCGAGAATGTTGTGCAAAGTGCCTCACGATCGTGGCGTATATAACTAATCTTAATTAATGTTGTTTTCGGGAGTGAATGTAAGTGCAACGAAGAAATAGCAAAGGAGAAGAAAAGCAAGTCTGAAAAAGCACTGGGTAATAGGAGCAACTCATTCATCACTCCTTTGTTCGATTTCGAACATAATGATCTTTCTCTTTGATAAACTGGTGTTGCGCACCGTATATAGGACCTACAGTTTAATGCCGATTAAAACCCTAATGGCTACCATGGAGAAATGCTCTTGGCAAGATTTTTCAGTGATTTGCCATTGGCTTCCGAGACAGGAATGAACGTATACAATTTTTCGGTTCTACCAGGAATTGAACCCAGGACCTGGAGTCTTTGGCTTTATAGATTAGTGTGTTATCTACTATGCCACGCTTCCCTCATTTATGTTAGATTTATATATATATATATATATATATATATATATATATATATGGATTGCTTAAAAAAACAAATTGTTCTATCGTCGCGGAATCCAACTTTTGTAAAAAAGATGAGAAAATAATATAACTCGTTCTAATCCCACGATGAAATGTCGCAAATTATAAAATCCATTCAAAAAATTAAAAGAGTCGTATTGATAAAATTTGTAGTAGCGTAGTCCGAAAGATAAAAAGCGTAAAGGTCCTTCCGAAATTCCTCAGATATAGAGGGAGAGAGAATTATTTATTTATTGATAATGAGGTAAAAGCCTGTAAGAAAATTAAGCAAAAAAAAAGCAAGCACAGTCAAGATAAAAAAAACTCATATCAAGCATATTGTACAATAATTAAAAAAATAATTCTTAACCTCTGATAAAAATTATAAAAATTTCGCTTACAGTGTAAAGAAAAAATAATCATTATAAAAAAACACAATGGAAATAAAATTTTAAACAATACTGTGAGTAATTGAAGGCAGGTGTAGAAATTATAGTAAAATACGTATATCAGAATAGAAGTGAAAGGAGAAGATAAAGCCATGCGTAAAGAGTGGAGGAGTGTGGTCGCGAGAAAATCTGAAACATTACTGGCAATGGGAGATGTAGGAGGCATAGGAAAGAAAGGGCGGAAAAGAGAGAGGAAAAATGACGTAGATAAGGAGGAAGATGGCAAGGAAGCGGAAAATATGATTGAAAATGTCAGGCATTTACAGATAATATGAAGATAGAATCATCTAAAAATCAGTGTCATTCTGAATATTCAAATCATTTTTTTGCTGGCAGATATACAGTATATTTACTATAAGGATTTGGTTAGTATTTTCTGGTTGGATCTATAAAATTTCTTGTTACATTAATTTCTTTGCTTGCCGCTAGGCGACAAGCCACTCTCAACTTAACTCGTATTTAATATTTGCCATGAAATGTATATAAAAATCTAGTATTAACATTAAATCCAAAATATATTTTTTTTTCTCTTACGAGCAGTAGTGCCAGAAAGAAGACGCTAGCTCTCTGATTGTGCGTGTTTGAGCTACATCCTCTTCTTGCATTACTGTTTATCAGTTTAATT